ATTCATTAGTACAGGGGGAAGAATAAGATCTATATATTATTCATAATCCAATGGCTCATTTAACTTAAAATTAACCCAAAATATTTATGACCAGCTGAAATTAGCAATGGTCTTTTAAAATGAAACATAATTATACAGAGAGAAAAATCTGTAAGTTTAACCAATGTCATACTGGATAATATTATATACATTGAATATATGTGTATGTGTATATATGTATATATGTGTACACATATGTAATTTTACTTCTTTAAAATTTTTTTTCCTTTATTGATTTTAAAAAAGAGAGGGAGAGGGATAAAGAGATAGAAACATCAGTGAGAAACATCATTAATCGGCTGCCTCCCGCACACCCGCTACTGGTGACTGAGCCTGAAACCCAGGCATGTGCCCTGACTAAGCATCCAATCTGTGACCTCTTGGTTCCTGAGTCCATGCTCAACTACTGAGCCACACAGGCTGAGTTAATTTGACTTTTAACAAGGGTGCTCTCCATAAGGCAACCAACCATGGAAAGAGTTTTCTGTATTTCAGAGCAAGATCTGTTTCTATTGCCAAAACTTTAAAGGACTAATACTGCAGGTCAGAGAATCTGATGTATTAGGAAAAAGTGTCTGGTTTGGGACATTTGAACGGTCACAACTTTGAGAACTGCCTTCACCATGTGGTCACCTGCTAGCTTTTCAGTGCCTTTCCCTGGGCAGTCATTACAGGAAGCATCGATGAAGGATGCTCACTTGTTAGGAAGGAGGAAAATATCTGAACTCACATTAAATGAACACTTACTAGAAGTTTAAATATAGACTGAAAAGATTTCCTTGTAAATATTTGAGGCTTTCTAACATGCTTTGGTTTCCAGAGAAACCCTTAAAAATGTTTTCAATGCCATCTTTCTTTTTTTAACTACTAAAAAATCTACTAAATTGTGTATTGTGCTATATCACAGAAATAAATGCCCTGGTTTAAAATGTATACATTACCTTTATGAAAAAACACAAAAATATGGAAATATTATGCATAAATGAAATACTTAATATTCCAAATCCTAATGAACATTCTCAAGGTTTTAAAAATAATCTTATTATCCTTCCCCTTTATAGTATTGCTCTATTTACATAAACTTATGCTATTTTTCATATATAAATCTTTATATCCTTTATGAAACACCCAATTTTCACGAATCTCTTATTTTCTTTAGACAAGAAACTTATAAGTGTACAGTAATTTACATAAAGAAAGTTCCGCAACCTTCTTTGTCTTTAAAACTTTGGATACTTAACCCCTGACAGAGAGCCACTTCATTCAGTGTGTGGCCTGCAGCCATAGCTAATAACTTAGTGGCAGTCTTAGAGAGAGGAAAAGTTCCCAGCAGAGTTGGAAGCTAGTGCAAAAACATCAAGAGATGTGTGCAGAGAATTGCTTTCTGATGATAAACCGACAGAAAAGATTATCCCACCATATAACCGTATTGCAACAAAACTCCCATATATCGCAGCTCTTGCATACTTATACGATGCAATTGAAGGGTTTGTGGTGTGCCCTCCTAGTAATGATGAATTGACAAAGGTTTTGTTTTTTTCTTTGCTTTAAGACTTTATGCCCTAATTTTTTTCTAACTATTTTTCCCTCATATTTTGGAGGAGATATTTTAAAGGCAAAATTGGTCATTCGAGCATTTTAATCATCTGCAATGTTTCACATATCTAATAACTTGTAAATCTTCCTTTGACAATCTTTTGAAGCCTAGTTGTACAACCCATTAATTACATTTTCATGCCTATGCACTTGTGTCATTTTACACACAAAAATAAAAATTTTAAATATGCCTCCTTTAACATGCTACTTACAGGCAAAAATCAATATTAAAAATATGTTCAATACCATATTTTTGATAGTGATGATGCACTGTTAAGTTAAAAACTATATAGATAGGAATACAGACACACACATACACACATAATGGTACATTCATACAATAGACTATTACACAGCTTTAAAAAATTAAGTTATCATCACTTACAATACAAGGACATGTAATGCATTATTCAGAGGAATGGCAAGCATCATGGCTTTTAATCCTATAATTGTCTCACTTTTTCTGTGATTCTCCCATCTCTGCCCTCCTTTGCGTGCTCAGTTCATCTTTTGGCTAATAAAGCTACAGCCAGGATGGGTGGCCTGTTCAACAGGCACAATGTCTAAAGGAAGCAGAGGAAATATTGCTGGCAAGAAGGATGAGATTAACGTTGCTTATAAGTGGGTTTCAACAAAGGCTTCAAGAAGTGTTGCTTATAATGACGTGTAAAGCACTCTATTTTCTATTTCATCTTTAAAACATTCTGTCACCACAAGTAACTTATTTGATGACAGACCAATGAAACACTTTCTGAACCACATCCATCAGGGTCCACAGCCTAGAGCCACGTACAGTCCCCAACCTCGTGGCCTTAGAGGGCGGTAGCAAGGATTCAGGACGGAGGACATCAGGGGTCTACCATAAGCTCCCGACCAAAACCCACCCGAAGGCTTGTGATGGAGGCCACGGGCTCTGTGCTCGGTAACGGGCAGTGAGGTTAATGTAAATTCCCTGCAGCCAGAAGGCAGAACGTGAGATCCGATGTGTGAGAACAGGCATGGAAAGGAATTAGGAGTTGGGATTTATCCTGCAGCAGAGGGAAGGCATCGAAGAGTTTAAAGCTAGGTGATAATAATGAAAAGGAAGATACTTCTAGCTTTAGTATCAAAAATGCCTTGGAAAGGATTTGCCGCTCCATAAGCTCCTTTTAGGATACTGAGGGAATGAATGGGTGTGTGGATAAAGGAATGGAAAGGGTTAAAAAAGATTCTCAGGTCTGTGTAGTACAACTGGGAGCCAGGAAACAAGAATATCAGCTAAATTGAAAAGAAAAAAGTGAGCTAAAATTCGGAAACACTGTGTTCCTTTGTCTGTTGGGCTTTAAGAGATAAAAGTCTAAGTAGGGATTTGGAAGATAGCAGCAGCGAGAAGAAATGGAATTAACTTGGGTAACTATGCAGAGTGGATCAGAGAGGGAACAAAGGCACAGGGACATTGAGGGTGAGCAGAAAAGAAGCCCCTGCGAAGACTGGAAAAGAGTAGCCACGGGTGTGGGAGACCTGGCAGCGAAGAAGTGAGAGAAAAAAAGTATAAAAGAAAGATCAGGCAATGCTACAAGGAGGGTAACTAAGATAAGCACAAAAATTGCCTTTTGGCCATGACTGATTTGGCTCAGTGGACAGAGAGTCGACCTGTGGACTGAAAGGTCCCAGGTTCGATTCCAGTCAAGGGCATGTACCTTGGTTGCGGGCCCATCCCCAATAGGGGCTGTGCAGGAGGCAGCTGATTGATGTTTCTCTCTCATCAATGTTTCTAACTCTCTATCCCTCTCCCTTCCTCTCAGTAAATATATATATATATTTATATCAGGGTTCACTCTTTTTTTTATAAAATATATATTTTTTAAAAAATTGCCCTTTTGGATTCTGAGGTGGGGGGAGAGAGAGAGAGAGGGAGAGAGAGAATGAGAGAAAGGAGGAGGAGAAGGAGGGATGGAGATATCTGGGGAGACTATTTCCACTGAAGCTCCACATGACTGGTGACTGACCTGTTTGCAAGGGTGCATTATCCAGGGAACATATGTCCCATTTCCATAAACTCAACCCTAAAAGGCAGAAGTGAGAGGTTGCGTAGGACAAAAAACAGTGGAGGAAGGACTTTATTTTTATTAAGCTAGAAGAGACATGCAAATAACGTAGGTCAATGTCACAGCCCATTTTGTAACCACTAGGTAGCCCAGAATATCCCAGCCAAGCGGCATTCCACGTGCCCTAAGACACATGCCTGCAAACAGATCAAAACGAATCAGTGTTCAGGATTTAGCTCCCTGTGTTCCGCATAGTCAGCGCAGCCTCCTGCGTTCTCACAAAGATAACACTTCCTCTCCTGATTTATCCGCTCAGAAGTGCCAGCCCTGGAGCCTGCAAAACTCCTGCCGAAACTGCCACAACACCCCTGCAAGCAAAGAGGGCGCGCCTCTGTGAATGTGAAAACAGCCCCGGGCCCAGCACAGCGCCCTGGGCAGGCACTGTCCCCCCGGAATGCTGGCGGTCTGATCTCTCAGTCAGTCCTTCCTCAGAAACACTGCATCGTAAATCATGACAAGGAATCCTTCCCCTTGGACAGAAGATGTCTCTGCAGGGGGTAAGGAAACCCCTGCCTTGCGAGTTTCTTTGAAGACATTTCCATAGTTCTACATCTCTGTATGTCTCGATGGTACCTACCGAGCATATGTACTGATAGAATGCAAAGCCAGCGTTCCTGGCATGGAGACACACAACACTGAAGCCCAGCGGGTCACAGAAAGAAGCTCTGAATGGCCATTAAATTCCTCTCTCTGTACTTAGTCCCACCCTCCAGCTTCTACAGGATAATGTCAACCCACTGTTCAGGGCCCCGTGAAACTGGGCTGCAGATCCCCCTTGATATTGTTTTCTCTGGCCACGTGGAGGGATGGTTCAAGCCACCTGGTCTACCTTGCCAGCTCCTTGCCTTCACTAGAGCATGCATGCCAAGTCCTCCTCATTCTCCTCCCTGCTCAGTGCTCCCAACCAACATGTCTCCCCCGCACCCACCTAATTCCTAATCTCCTCCCTGCCTTCTCTTAATTCCATATAGCACAGGTTTTGACATCAACTGCACAGAGTTGGGAATCACATATAGCTTCTTATAGTCCAGGTATTTATCCAACCAAAGTTTATTGAGGAGTTATTTGGGGCCATAGAGTACACCTAAAAGTTCTTGCCTTCTTGGAACTATAGTTCCAGCGGCACACTTAAAAAAAAACCCCACAAACAACAAAAAAGCACACACCACAATTACACAATTGATATTCAAATCTTTATCTTTTTCTCTATTTTTTTTCCTGTGCTATTTTCTATTTTTTATTAACCAAGCTGCAGGTTTAAATGAGATTTGCACTATCTTAGAGTCAAACCCAAACTTTTATTCGTCTTTCGGAAGAATAACAGTTGGGAGCTGGCAAGCTGCCAAGGTTCGATAGGGCCAGTCTCAGCCTTTATGCATCTCACGTCGGGGCCTGCAGGTGGGGGCCGGGGCCACCTAGAAGAAACCGCAATCCCCAGGGTCGCAGACGTACTCGCTCTCACACTCCGTGGTGTCGGTGTCGGCTTTGGTGTCGGCTTTGGTGTCGGTGTCAGTGTCAGCAGCCGCCTTCAGGCCGCCGCCGTAGCGGTGGATGAGCAGGCGGCCGCCCTGCACGCTCTGCGCCACCACGTTGGTGCCGTGGCAGGCCATCAGCAGCCGGTTGCGAGGCTGCACGCGGTAGGCGAAGCGCATGAAGGCCAGCGAGTAGAAGATGAGCGCCGTGGTCATGCGGCTGCTGATGATCTCCGGGGACGCCCTCATGTCCTTAAAGGCGGCCAGCGGCAGGCCCCAGTTGAATACGGGACCCCAAAGGTGTGTGCTGGTCACATAATCCCGAAACTCCTTGGTCTTCACGTAGTCCCATGCCTTCCGCCACA